CAATGGCGTGTTAGTTTCTGCTTTATAACAAAGTGAATCAGTTATACATATACATATGTTCCCATATCTCTTCCCTCTTGCATCTCCCTCCCTCCCACCCTCCCTATCCCACCCCTCTAGGTGGTCACAAAGCACCGAGCTGATCTCCCTGTGTTATGTGGCTGCTTCCCACTAGCTATCTATTTTACGTTTGGTAGTGTATGTATGTCCACGCCACTCTCTCACTTTGTCACAGCTTACCCTTCCCCCTCCCCGTGTTCTCAAGTCCATTCTCTAGTAGGTCTGTGTCTTTATTCCCGTCTTACCCCTAGGTTCTTCACGACATTTTTCTTTTCTTAGATTCCATATATATGTGTTAGCATACGGTATTTGTTTTTCTCTTTCTGACTTATACCCTGAGCAAACCATAATTCAAAAAGAGTCATGTACCAATATGTTCATTGCAGCTCTATGTACAATAGCCAGGACATGGAAGCAACCTAAGTGTCCATCAACAGATGAATGGATAAAGAAGATGTGGCACATGTATACAATGGAATATTACTCAGCCATAAAAAGAAATGAAATTGAGTCATTTGTAGTGAGGTGGATGGACCTAGAGCCTGTCATACAGAGTGAAGTAAGTCGCTTGTTTGTTTATTCACGTAGACTCTGGCCTCAGGGCTTGGGAATGCTGACCACTTGTGCAGGTGGCAGGATGGGGCCAGAGGGCTCCCACAGGTCTTGGTCCTCTCACTCCAGGAAATGAGGGAATGGCTAGAAAGAAGGGAACTGCAGCCTAGAAGCCTCTTTGGTGGCAGATGTGAGTCTGGAGGGCTGTGCTCTGTCGCCCTGTCCACCTTCATGCCAGCACAGGGTGGGCTGGGCACACAGATGTTGCCCAAGTTAATATATTTGAAGTGGCAGCAAGCAGCCTAAGGAAGAGGGCCACTAACTGCAGGGAGAGGCACAGGTAATTAGTTCACATAAATGAGGGGCAGGATGGGAGATGGCCTGCAATCAATAATATATGAACCTAGAGACCGTCATACAGAGTGAAGTAAGTCAGAAAGAGAAAAACAAATAGCGTATAAGAACGCATATATGTGGAATCTAGAAAAATGGTAAAGATGAACTTATTTGCAAAGCAGAAATAGAGACACAGATGTAGAGAATAAACATATGGCTACCAAGGGGTAAGGGGGGTGGTGGGATGAACTGGGAGATTGGGATTGATTTATATACACTATTGATATGATGCATAAAATAGCCAACTAATGAGAACCTACTGTGGAGCACAGGGAACTCTACTCAGTGCTCTGTGGTGATCTAAATGGGAAGGAAATCCAAAAAAGAGGGAATATATGTATACGTATAGCTGATTCACTTTGCTGTACAGCAGAAACTAACACAACATTGTAAAGCAACTCTACTCCAATAAAAATTAATTAAAAAATAATATATGAACAGAGAGGTAGGCAGTTTCCATTCAAATTTAGAAGCAGAAGTTAAGCTCTAACGATGAGGACTTGCATGTAAAATGCTGTCAATTAATGGAAAAAAACACGACCCCGGAGAACCAATGATACTGTGCAGGAACAGGCGTGCCTTTTTCAGCACTTCTGCTTTCGGCTTGATAAGAATCACACGTGTCTGGCTTCCCTGGTGGCGCAGTGGCTGAGAGTCCGCCTGCCGATGCAGGGGACACGGGTTCGTGCCCCGGTCCGGGAAGATCCCATGTGCCGTGGAGCGGCTGGGCCCGTGAGCCATGGCCGCTGAGCCTGCGCGTCCGGAGCCTGTGCTCTGCAACGGGAGAGGCCACAACAGTGAGAGGCCCGCGTACCGCAAAAAAAAAAAAAAAGAAAAAAAAGAAAAAAAGAATCACACGTGTCTCGCATATTTCTGTGAATCTCAAACTCATCCAGTGCTGGGGACTGTGGTTTCCTTCCGTTGGAGTTGATGCACTGAGCTTTGTAGCAGGAGGACACCAGGAGCCAGTGACTCACAGCCACTGAGGAGTGTCAGTGACGCATCTGAGGAGGTTTCCCAAGAAGTGACAGAGAAAATCTCTTTTGTCCTCCACACCTGGAAAGGCCTCTGAAGACAGGGCTCTTTCTCTCTTTCCCTTTGACTGGGTGGTAGATTTGGATCAGCTTTGTAGCCCACACGGGGCCGGGGATGACTTTCTGAAAACAAGTTGCTCACTTCCCACAGGTAGAGAGTGAGCGGCTGGGGTGAGGGGGTGGGGCCGAGTAAGGATGAAAAGGAGGGGGATGTGGGAGCCCCCTTCTTCCTTTGAACTTGGCCCCGCTGGGGCTGGGCGGGCACCACACCTGCAAGCTGGGGCCCAGAATCCTCCACCCTTGCTTCCCACTAAAAGGAAGGGAGGGGAGGAAACAAGCACTGCCCCAGACCCTCCTATCTGTGGTCATTCAAGGCCAGCAGCAAGACCAAGGAGGAGATACTGCTGGAACCCCCATTTCAAAGGAAAGAACAGGCTCACAGAAGTCAAGTAGCTCCCCCAATGTTGTACAGCTGGTAGAGTTAGGTCCTGTTGTCCAGCCATATCAGTGTGCATCGCAGTGATTTCTGTTGTACAAATTTTTAAAAATCATGATTTATGAACAAATCCCTCACTGATGGATATTTAAACTGATTCCAATTTTTTAAGATTACAATCACCAGAACCTCTTTTAAAAGAAGTTGTTTCTTTTTTCCAAACCTCCGTTTTTTTCCCCAGTTATAAAAATAATAGATGATTATTGTAAAAATTCACAGACCACGGAAATGTACCATGCAGAAATGGAAATTCCCCAGAGGAAATGCCATCAACAGTTTGGAGCATATCCTTCCAGACCTTTTTCTATTCATATAGGAAGAAATATGTCCAGAGGTCTTGATTAGAGAAAAAAATTAAGCAATAAGGTTCAATATTCTATGTTATATATCGTATATTATATAAGATTTCAATTTTCTGTTTAAAAAGTACACGCAGGAAAAATCTGGAAGAACAAGAAACTTTCAAATACCAATTTTACACATTTCTGAAATGTTCTGTACTTGGAGTTTTAAAATATCTCTTTATAGAAGTATAATGTATATCTATTTCCATAGCTATATATGAAAGTTGACATCTCATGACTGTACAGCTCTATTGACTTTTCACAAATTGAACACACCCCTATGACCAGCTCCCACATGGAGAAACAGAACATGCCCACCCCAAACCTCCTACTTCCTTCTCATGACCATCCCTGCACCAAGGGTACCCATATCCTGACTTCTAACTTATATATATTTGCCTGTTTTTATCTGTGCTTGAATTTTAACAGCGACAACGTATTACATTGAAAATGAGAATAATCAATACAGATGTTATAATAGATGCAGATGTAGCGGTCATCATTTGATGCCAGCGTATAGGCTTCTAGCTCATTCCTTCACAGCTGCGTGGAGTCCCTTGCGTCACAATTGATCTAACTGGCTCCCTTTGAGGGACATTTGGATTGGTTCCAATTTTTGGCTAATAAGCAACACTGCAAGGAACAATTTGATGCATATTTCTTTGCACACATCACTTTGATATGTGTTTCTTTAAGATACGTGCCGAAGAGTGAAATTGCTAGTCAAAAGATAGCTAAATGAAGAAAAAATTTTTTGATATTTTGCCATAATGGCCCTCCAGAAAGTAGCAAATGCTCAGTTCCTCCTTCAAAACAAAAGTCAGGTGCTGAGTGCAGACCTCCTCACCGCAGCCCCTGCCGCTGGCAGCCAAACCAGTGCCAGCTCCCCGGGCAGACGGAGCCCAGGCTGCCCCAGCAGGTGCCTGTTGCACAGAAAACAGAAAGGCACGCCCCCCCGTCCTGAACCCCAAACCTCACCCCATGCAAACGCACAAACAACTAAACACAATCACAAAGACAGCAGCAGGGAGATGCAGCGAAATAGCAGAGCCCATAGTGGGCTGGGGGGCCTTGAGATCTGTTCTTACTTCCTCTGCGGACAGGGTGTGAGCCTTCAGGGAGGGTAGGCTGCATGTCTGGGCCTTAGTCTATTATTAAACAGGGCGTCTCGGAGCAAAGTGAACCCCGGAAGAGTCTGGTCAGCCTTGGGAGGCAGCCTGTTCTGCTGTCCTTACAGCTGACGGGCAGTAAGAGTCAGTTTCTCTTGATCACCTCCTGCATCTACGCCCTTCTAACTCCCACCCACCACTGCTATAGTCCTGCTGCGCCCCTGACTCCACAGAGAGCCTCTCAGATGCTGGGAGACGGTCACATTGGCCCTTCGTCACATTCTGTGGCTGCCACCAGAGGCCTCTGAAGACGGCCTGGTTTGCCATTGCCCTTCTTAAATCCCACCTCCCAGCCCTCGGCTGGCCAGGGAAAGCAGGTGGGACTCTCTCCTTCTTTGACCTGGGCCATGTGCTTCTGTTAATGCAGCCAAAGTTTGGATTCTTCTTTGGCTCGATAGCTCTTAAGTTGCTCAAGCCCAGGCTGGGGAGCTAAGATAAGATCCACGGGCTTTTACAACTCCTTCATCCCAGCTCAGCATTTTCTCCTTGCATCTTTCTTCGACTATTGAAGCTGAGAGACAGTAAAATATTAATGGACATGTGACAGAGACCCTGATGTGTCTCACCTTCTCTTTGGTGCAAGGTCGCCGGCCTCGTGGCCAGGAGTCCCTGGGGTCCCATGCTCAGTAGGAGTGAACAGGTGCTAGTGAAGGCAACTTGGGGGTGGGCTGGAGGGGTGGTGGCCCCTGGGGCACCTGCTACCTGGCTCTGGGTGCCTTGGGTGCTTCCAACCTGTCCAGGTTGGGTGCCTTGGGTGCTTGTCCAGGTTGGGTGCCTTGGGTGCTTCCAACCTGTCCACAGTGGAGTACAGCATGTTTGTGGGCAAATGAAGAGCTTGACGCAAAATGAAGACATAGTCATTTTAACCTTTTCATCTCTTTTTAACTGAGCACCGACATCTTTGCCACATAGATGAGCTTTTGTGTGTTTACATCACAGGAGCCATGTGTATCATTTATTCAAGATTTTATTTTTACAACCAAGATATTATCATAACAAGAACAGAGAGTAAGAGAAGAAACATACAAGCCATGGGAGGGCAGAAGTGAAAGCTGAATGACTTCCTGGTGGGAGATCAAGTGGCCTCATGTCCCCCAATCCACAAGTTCCAAGCCCCAAAGGAGGTCCTCAGAATCTGAAGTGACCATGGGAGACAGGTCAGTCCCTCTTGGGAGCCTCATTTCCAGTCTGGGTCTGCTCTCTGGGGCCTTCTGTGAGGAGGGTCAGCCCCCGCCTGGGAAGACCAAAGGGACCCATCCCAGCACCATCCCATGAGAGACTCGGGTCTCAATGTCACTGCCTTACCTGGGCAAAGCAAGGCGGTGGCTGGATGGCCAACACTGAAATTCCCAGCCCAACAGGATGAGCACAGGAGCCGGCAGTGGTGCGCTGGGTGCCATTTTGTACTCAATCCTCCTTGCAAGTTGCCTTGCAAGTTGCAGGAAGTGCCCTGGGGTTCTGAAGCCTTCTCTCTAAGATCCCGATGACCATGTAACAAGTTGCTCCCATGCACGAGGCCCAAAGAAAGAACTTGCAGTGGTTAAAAGCAAGCAGATTCAGCAGGTCAGTGACACTTCCATGGTTGAGTGTGTCCTTTCTCTCTCATTTTTCCAGATCTCGCTCATCACCGACCAATGTATTTTTGTAGCAGGACACCAAAAACGTATCCTCTGCTCACTTATAAAACCTGAAAACAACAGCAAGCTGTGAAACCACTTATTATCAGGCAAATGCTATTGTATTTCCTGTAAGAGAGATAAATGGCGAGTCAGGATGCAAGGCTCCACTCCAAGTAAGTAGCCTAGGGCCAAGAGTTTTGTGTTGGTATGTTTTTAGGGCCCAACTCAGTCATTAAGAAAAATTGAAATGCTCAAAAAACGCAGCCCTAAGAACTCTAGCTTTGAATAGTGTTACTTCCTGCGGTACCTTCTAAGGTAAGCGATTCACCGATGCACACTAGGGGACCAGAGGAACGTGGCCTGCCGCTAGATGATTTTCTAAGGCGAGTTAGAGGCTGGGGAATGTCTGCCCCAAATTGCAACTTGAATTAGTAACAGCTGATCTTTGAGGCCCAGGGACTATTTCATCCACACCTGGATCATGATAGCAAAACCAGAGGTGGTTTTCAGACTTCTTTTTAGCCACAAACGCTTTTGTTCAACGACATCTTACAGGTAAGTGTAATTACAGGCAACGGATGAAAGCAGAGCTGTTCGGAATGAAAAGGGTGAGGGGGGGTGGCTAGGGTCCCACCCGGGGCCACCCCCAGCCCCTTCCTCGCCTAAGCTGATCCTCGGAACCCCTGGGGTTTGCCATAGCATGAGGTCCTGCAGCCGACTCCTCCCAAACTGGCATCAAATCACTGGGGAACAAGTTAAAACGAAGGGGTGAGGGGGAGGCACAACACAGGCAGCTCCTTGAGGGGGAGTCGTTCTCCACAACAGGTCACCACACGGAAGATTCTGAACAGAACATTCTGGAGGTCTAGAGTTCGACAAATACACTTAAGTTACTGTCTCTTAAGTACGGGGTAGTTTCTAAATCCAGCACGTAAAGTGAAAATTGCACACCATCGAAAATTGCCCACGAAATGCAGCAGGCATGTTTAAGCAACTATACAACACAATGTATACAAATATATACAAACACAATGTGTGTAATTGTGTAGAGCAGACAGTATAGTGAGAATATATGAAAATTTATCATTTCAGAGTATTTAAAAATACATTTTATGTTGGACACCTGAAACTAATATAATATGGTCTGTCACTTATAATTCAACAAGAAAACATGTTGTTTCTTGGTTGTTGGGCTCATAAAGTTGCCTTTTGTAAGTACCATGAGCTGCTGCCTTGACTCCAAGTAGCCAGGGGCTGTGCACTTAGACGGTGCCTCTTCAGTAAGTCCTTACAATAGCCATGTGGTTGGTACTGTTATCCCATTTTACAGATGAGGAATCAGGGGCTCAGACAGGTGAAGTGACTTGCCTGCAGTCCCAAGGCTGGTGAGTGGCAGACAGGACTCAAACCCAGATCTGCCTCACAATGGAGCTACTCTTCAATCTAGGAGTGGGGGCTTTCTTTCTGTTTTTCAAACACTCTACATAGAGGGGGTTGTAATGAATGAGATAGGTAGATGCGAAACAATCTCTATTTTGAGGCAGAAAAGGCGGTCCAAGGACACTGCCCGTGGCCAAACAGGGGTCCAGAGCCCTTGAGTCTGGGAGCCTCAGGCAGCCTTGGCCTCTGCCTTGGCTTCTGCTGGAGCTTACCCAGCTCAGTGGGCCTAAGCAGCGAGCCTTGTAGCCCCCGTGTCTATGTGACTCAGCCGGTGGGTTTGCCAACTCCTGGGACCCAGGTGGGGTCAAGTCCAACACACACCACCAGGAGGGAAGGAATTCCACTGGTGGAGATGCTGGCCTTGGGGTGAACCGACTTGTCTTTGAGTTCGAGGCTGCTCTCTACTGTTCCAAATGCTTTGAGCAAGTCTTGATCTGTAAAAATCACCCTCCTATGCCATGCAGGACCAAGTTGAATGAAATAACGGGTGGCAAAAAGTTTGGGATATCCTACTGGTTCTACCCATGCAGTAGTTGATTGTTTATTCAATGTCTTGTAGTAACGTAAAATGGAAAAGAATCTGAAAAAGAATATATATAACTAAATCACTTTGCCGTACACCTGACGCTAACACAACATTGTAAATCAACTCTACTTCAATAAAAATAATAAACAAAAAAGAGTTCACTATTATTCTCAGGAGAGCTAAGAGCTAAATCTTACCATACTTGACATATACTTAGACGACTAATTGGTATTCTGTTTGCTTAGGTTGTCTCTTTGCCTGAACTCCATGAGCCCATCTATTTACACAGTGTGTGATCTTTTTGAAGGTGGTGTCTGTCTGGGGCTCTCGCAGTTGGAGGCTGTGGGCAGCAGCAGGGGCTGAGGAAGCCGGGGCCACACCCAGGGCTGCGGCCCAGGCAATTTTCCAAGGCCCCAACCACTTACTGTTTCAGGAGGCGAAGCCGAGCTCTCCTCTGCAGGCCTGGAAGGAGAAAACAAGACCGCTGGTTGGCATGGGCTGTGAGCCACTGACACCGAGCCCCAGAGAGGGAGGAGGGCGATGAGAGGGGCAGCTGACACCTCGGACCACTTCCTTGGTGCCAGGCTCTGCTCCAGACACCTCATGGGTTTTAACTCCCTTACTGTTTACGGCAAACCTAAGAGTCGGTACTCTTACTATCTCCGTTTTGCATATGGGGAAGCTGACGTAGAGGGTGAGTGTGTTACTGAATGACTTGCCCAAAGTCATGTAGCTAGTAAGTGGCAGTCTGTGTGCCCTTAAATGCGCCACCTTGCCCTTCACAGCAGGTCAGGAAGCAGAGGTTGTACAGACAGGTGGTCTTAAATCAGAGCATGTGTATTCTGGGGAAGTGCAAGGTTTCCCCCTGGGACGAAGGAAGGAAAGATGAGCATATCTATTTACATGTTTATCTCATCCTTTTTATTTTTGAAGCACATTTAATAACATACATAGACTATTAAATAAACACAGCTAGCATAAATATTAATCATTTAAGAATGTAAATATAGTTATATATTAAATATATACATACATAATATATTAAATAAATAAATACAGCTAATTGAAGTTAGGGTTTATAACTAGAAGATTGTTTTACTGATGAGGTCCTTGATCAAAAAAGTCTGCAGACCACTGAACTCTAACGGTTCTTAGAATGGAATAAATGGATCCTTTTTTTGGGGGGCGGCAATTGTATGCAAAAATATGCACATGGTGCATTTCTCTGCAGAGAGGGTCCATATTGCCATCATACGTTCAAAGGGGTCTGTGACCTATGAAAGAGCCACTGATCTAGTCCACGTCCTTGTGGGCCACCCCGTCCCATTTTACAGAAGCCCAGAGAGGGTAAGTGACTTGCCCAAGGTGGCACAGGTGAGCAGAAGAGTCAGGGCTAGAGTCTGGGGCTCTGGGTTCTTGGCCAGCTGTGCGGGCCTCCCCTGAAGCTCCCAGGGGGGCCCGTAGAAGGAGGTGATCCCACCTCTGAAGTGACGGGGTGCAGCAGCCATCTCTGAGTTTCCCCACGGCCTCACAGAGGGGAGGATTTCTAGCTTCTGGGAACATAACCCAAACCCTACCACAATCTCTGTGCACTGCTTCCATCCCAACCGCTCACGGGTGTTCCTGATTACTGCGCACGTGCCCCGAGCCGGGCACCTGGGCGGGACTTTACAAAAGCAGCCCTGGGAAGTAGGTAACACGGTTACCCGGGGTGAGGCAGCTGAGGCTCAAGGAGGCCAGGGCATAGGCCCAAGGTCACTAGATCAGTAATCAGCAGAGTTGGATTCAAATCCAAGTTTGCCTGACTCCAGAGACAGGGTGTTCTCTGATCCCTGAAGCTTGGCCTCAGGCCAAGCATCACTTCTTGGAACTATCATGGGTTCAGGGTTGGAGGGGCAAACTTCCAACAGGCTGCCATGTGCCCTGCTTCCCTAGAGAAGGAAGGACCCTCAGGGACACCTCCAACAGCAAAAGGGGTCGCCATGACGGCCCAGGAGGGCACAACTTACAGTGTAGGTGAATGGCCACGCCCAAGGACACCAGCAGAACAAGGACGACAGCCACCAGTGGGCCGACAATGAGGGGGGCACAGGACGGGCCTGGAAGACACACACATATTAAATATTTGAGATGTGCAGACGAACACAGAGAGGGAAAAATCAACCGGAAGCCCCACCTCCCAGAGAATACCGCTGTTTACATGGTTCCTTCCAGTCTTTTTTCTGGGCTCTTTAAACACATTGAGATCATTTCATATATAAAATTTCATGTCCCACGTGCAAATTTTAAAAATTAATAAACTCAGGAGCTATTTATGTTCAAATGAGATAGACAATTTGCATGCCTGGTAATGGGATTTTTCTTATTTATTTTTAAAACTTTTAATTTCAGAAGAAATACCTGAATATATTTTCACTGTAAAAGATTTAGGTATATGGTTAGAATGCCCCTTGGCAACGCAGCTCCTTCACAGAAGTAACTGTCATTGTTAATTTGCATGTACACATACATAATTTACATAGATACATCCCATAGAGCTTTTAAAAATACAGAGGCTTATATAGTACAAATTGTTCTGCAACCAGGTTTTTTTTTTTTCTTCACTTAAACATGCCAGCACATTCTTTTTTGTTAACGGACATTTTGTTTGTTTCCTGTGTTTTGCAAATACCTCTGCAGAAAACATCCAGGTACATTTCTTTCTTTATGCAGGAGACTGCCGGAGGCAGATACTGTAAACGAGAACTACTAACCATAGACTATATCCATCTTCAATTATAACAGATACTGTGAAATGCCTTCCAAAAAGGCTGCAGTGAATTCCATTCCTAATCACCAGTAGTGCACCCTGCCGACCCTTGGCATTATCAAAGTTTTTAGTTTTTGCCAGTCCAGTGGGTGAAAAATATTTCACTTCAATTCACCACTTGTCCATTTCAGCCTATTTTCATAGATTGGCCACGTATGATTTTTCTTCTATCAGTTGCCTATTTGTTCCTTTGCCCATCTTGTATGCTATGTAAACAGTAGAGTTTATATCATCGATGCCCCAAATCCTTCTCTGGCACCCTTCGTGTCCCTGTGGCTGGTCCCTATGAGTAGCTGAGGGAGCAGAATGAGGACCCATGGGTGAAAAGGGAAGGGCTGCAGATTTGGGCTCAAGGTTAAAAAAATTAGAAAGAGTTTTCGATGTCAGGGAAGGGGGAGAAGGTTTACTGAAGACCTGTTATGTGCCAAGTATAGTACTAACTACAAACTTCCATCTTGTGAGGAAGGAAGGTATTACTGTCATTTTTATCTCTCATTTTACAGTTCAGAAAAAACCAAGATTCAAAGAAGTTCAATTACATGCCTTAGGTCACCTGGATACTAAAAGGCAGGGCCAGGATTTGGACCCAGATGCCCCGAGTTCTACAGCCCCTGCCAGTCCCATCGTGACAGCTTAAGGGCAGGAGAGGTGGCAGAAGGGACGGAGTGGGCTGCTCCGTGGGAGGGAGTCTGCCATCACCAAGGCTGCATGGTGCCACGTGGAGAAGAAGGTTGGGTGAGAGGCCCTTGGAAGTCCTTCCCACCTCTGATGTGTGAGGGTTTCTGTCTGCCTCCCTCTCATCTCCCCCATGGTTCTCCCGACCTGGGGGAACCTCAGAAACATGGTGTGAAGTGGAAGAAACCAGGCATGAAAGACCACATATTCTATGACTCCATTTGTATGAAATGTTCAGAAGAGGCAAATCTATAGCAACAGAATGTAGATTAGCGGTTGCCAGGGGCTGGGGTGGGAACAGAGATTAGCTATAAACAGGCACAAGGGATCTGACAGTTTGATGGAAATGTTCTAAAACTAGATTGTGGTGATGGTTGTATAACTCGGTAAATTTACTAAAAATCATTGAGACATGCACTTAAAATGCGTGAATTTTATGACATGCAAATTATGCCTGGATAAAGTTTTAAGTAAGGGAGGTGGACACAGGCTGCAGGGATCGGGGAGAGGGGTCAGGGGAGGCCTCCTGAGCTACGACCTGAACTAGAGGCCGAGAGACAGCTACCGGTCCTCGGGTCCTCGGTGAAACGCGATCACCTACCAGGAAAACTGCCGCTTCTAGTAAAGGTGGCGAAAAGCCTGCTTGGGCAGGGAGCCAGTGGCCAGAGACACACCAGAGACACTCAGCCCCACCTTCTTTGCCTCGCTCGAGTCTTGGGGTCTCCTGAGATCTGTATCTCACCACACTGTTCCTGTGACAGCAGTTTAGAAATTGTCCCCCAGCACCTCCCCAGCTTGTCTCAAGGGGAGCAGGCCCCTCCCCATGGCGGCCTGTGGGTTTCTTTCATGATAACAAGCTTTGAGCTCTGTCTAGGTGCCCCGCCAAGCTGAGCGCCTTGTGTATAGTATAGCATTTTATCCTGCCTTGCCTGCAGCCAGGTGAGCATTCCCACTTGACAGGTGAAAGAAACTGAGGTTCAGAGAGGCTGAATCACTTGCCCAAGGTCGCACAGTATAAGCAGTGGTAGACAGGGATTCAGACCTAGGCCTGGCTAACTTACCACTAGGCTACACTTCCCCATGGTCCCCACCCCCAATACAACCTCCACCTACTCCCCTTGACGCCCCTCCCCCCAACCTGGCCACCTTCACACACGTCCTGGTTATTCTTAATAACCTACTAATGTTGGAATTGCATTTTACCCTGGGATTTTACTGAGGGTTGGTATCAGAAATGATGCAAAAAATCTGAAGACCATTTTTCCATCATTTATGAAGTGCTACCGAATTCACTATCATTCAGCGGTCCTTACATAAGAATGAACAGAGCAGATTTTTTTCTAGAATTTAGCGCCAGGATGAAGGCTTTGATGCCCGGGTTGTTTCTTTATACCACTGTGGTGGGAGAAGGGGTGTTAGTGGTGCCACGTGACTTGGGGTCTGCTCTTTGCTTCCCCGGGGTTTTTGGTTCTTCCAGAGCCAGGGCACAGACCCAGGTTTTGCATCCTCATCTTACTGCCTCTACTGTCTTGGCCTTTCGTGTCCTTTCTTTGGCTATACCCTGCCTGAAATCCTTTAGGCAAAGTTGGGGGGCATACTTCATAAAATGAGCTCATTCTGTCTCCGCCTTTGTGTTCCCTAAGACTCTGTCCTTCTGTACATGGGTTCTGATTTGCTTTTTACTGTGAACTCATGTGGCAGCTTCCCTCTCCCATGCCCTGGATCCTGCTAGATGCCTCCCCCCAGACTCTTTCTGATGCTTTATATAAATATTTAAGACAAAGCAACACCAGTAGCATGAGGCGGCCCTGGTGTGGCTGCTTGTGGTTTGTCCTATGGGTGGGAGCAGGTGACACTTTCTTTTTGTCACCAGTAACTTCTGGGGGACAGAGGTCAGTGTTTTTTAAGAAACACATTTGGCTGATGGGTTCAAGGCAAGTGTGTGTGCGTGTGTGTGTATGTAGTCAGCTACGGTGTCTGGTGCTTGTAGCACACAATAGTGAGTCAGTTTACTCATTAGTAAACGTGTATGAAGCACACACTGTGTGCTAGGTCCTCTGTTAGGCATCAAAACCGGGGAAGGTTAAAGTACTGGTCCTTTGTCTTTTTTTATTACTTTTTATCGGAGTCTAGTTGATTTACAATGTTGTGCTAGTTTCTGCTGTACAGCAAAGTGTATCATTTATAATAGGTATATCTCTACTGTTTTTCAGGTTCTTTTCCCATATAGGTCATTACAGAGTATTGAGAAGAGTTCCCTATGTTATACAGCAGGTCCTTATTAGTGATCTATTTTATATACAGTAGTGTGCATATGTCAGTCCCAAAGTGTTGGTCCTTTGGGTTGAGTTTTTTGTTTGTTAACAGCTCTATTAAGATATAATTTATATATTGTAAAGTTCACCTGTCTAACGTGTATAATCTAATGGTTTTTGTTATATTCACAGACTTGTGCAACTATCACCACAATCTAATTTCGAACATTTTAATCCCCGTCAAAAGAAATCCTGTGCCCATTAGCTGTCTTGCCCCCATTCCTTCCCCAAACCCCCAGCCTTAGGCAAACACTAATCTATTTTCTGTCTTCAAGGAATGTCATATTCTAGACATCTCATATCAAGGGGGTCATATAATATATGGTCTTTTGTGACTGGCTTCTTCCGCTGTAAAATATTTTCAAGATTCATCCATGTGGTAGCATATCATTACTTCACTCTTGATTATGGCTAAATAACATTCCGTTGTATAGAGAGTCCATATTTTGTCAATCCATTCATCAGGTGGTAGACATTTGAGCGGTTTCTACTTTTTAATCCTGCTAGGAACATTTGTATGCAAGTTTCGGGTGGATGTATCCTTCATTGAGTTTTGTCCTGTGATGACTTGGGAGTGTGTCTCCCACTAGAGTGTGAGCTGCTGGAGGATAGCACTGCTGTCGCACTCAGCTCCCTTTCAGACCCCAGCTCAGGGCTAGAGAAACAGGCTGGAGTCCACACTTGGGAAGGGCTTTCGGAAGGAAGGAAGGAATGACGGCAGGGAGGGACGGAGGGAGGGAGAGTGTCTGCTGTCCTTCTGAGAATCCAGGGGTATGGGAGAACTCACCCTTCCGGGTCACCAGGTTTGGGAACCGTAACACTTTCTTCTTGGGAGTGGTCTTCTTGGTGGGCTGCGGAGTGGTGGGAAGGACATCAACTACAAAAGCAAGACACATGTTTTAGCCAGGTAAACAGCAGGTGGATTCAGAGATAAAACTTACAACTGCACATCTTATATCCAGGTACTAAAGTCTTTCTCAGTGTTTCCTAGGCTGCTATGGGGCTTGAAGGTCACAGATCACTGGGATTTTTGATCTACTTCCCCGACTCTCAGATGAATCTGAAGGCCTAGGGATGGGGGTCTGTTTGATGTCCTGGAGAGAGGGGTTCTGGAGCCACCCAGATGTGAAAAGAGCCCCAGAATCCCTGATTAACCACTGCGTGATTTGGGGCAAGTCCTATCACTTTTCTGTGCCTCAGTTTCCCCCATGTTAATCCAGTGTCACGTGCTGAAGTGTTGGGACAGGGCAGAGAGACAAGCCCACAGGGCAAAGGGAGGCACCTGGGGCTCGGAGATGCTAAGGGAGGGGGGACACCGGGCGCCGCTGAATCCAACCCCTGCCTCTGAGGGTTGGGGAAAGACATTTCACTGAAATGATATTCTGCAAAATGGTAGGAGAGGGAATCGGGTGACATCATGAACTTGAACTCTAGAGTCAAGGGCAAAGGGAGGGGCAGACAATGTTTGGTCATTTGGGCCCGGTAGATTTCATAATAAAATGTGGACACTTCAGACGCTCACTGCCCTGAGCCATGATCAGTAGAGAAAACATGCCCCACTCTGCCTGCTCCACGAGGTTTCTAGAAGAGCCAACTAACCAGAATTAACCCTTACCAAGCTCCCACCTCGGGCTACTGCCCATGCCAAGAGCGTCAGCTGAAGCTTATTGAACCCAACAACTCTGGGGACTGGCACTGTCTTCCCCATCTGATCTCTGAAGAAGCCTAGGCTCAAAAGGTTGAAATAAATCACTTGCTCAGAGTTCAGCAGCCACGAAACGCCAGGGCCGGCATCTGAGCCAAAAGATGTGCGTCTTAGGCTCTCACCCCGCACACCGCCTTAAGAGCAAATGCGTTTTGACAAAAAGTTAAGCACATCAGGTCATAAGAGTGCTGAGGGAAACTCTTGGAAAAGGGGAAAACAGCCTCAGTCTCTTGCTCTGAAAGCCTGGGTGGAGCTCGGCCCTCTGCTGCGGTGTTTTGACCTTCCATTACCCCCTTTAGTCCTCACTGCCTTGGAAGTATTCATTCCCCTACCTCCTACACGTGGAGGCGCAGAGGCTCCCAGCGCGGCAGTGGTGAGCCTGCGAGGGGGCAGCTCTACAGGACTTCGTGCCCTGCCTGGGCACAGCGGCCTGGGGATGGATGGGGGGGGGGGGGTTGTGGGGGAGACTTGTTCTATTTCAATGTCTTCTTGCCCAGAGGCAGGTCCCCTTGATTCTTCCTGATACCACTCCGCCACACCCAGTTATCCCCACTTCTCTCCTCTTGGAAAGGGGCAGGAGTTTTGAGCCCATGGTGTCTTGAGGGGCCTGAAAAAGGCCCATCTTCCCCCAAATACTTTCTCTACCATCCAGGCTTCCTCCTTTAAAATGTACTGACCTTCTGGCAGGAGGGCAGGCTCTGACTCTGAATACCTGTACCCTGAGGAGATGATACAGTTGCCAGCACGTGTTTTGGGGAGGGACTGCCATTCCCGGGGAGCCAGGCAGTGAGAGGGGTTTGGGAAGATCAAAGCCAGGAGTGAGTGGGTGGTGGTACACGTGGCAGGAATCTTCTGAAAACCAGTTTTGCTTATTTCGCCATCCACCTTTCCTAGACCCTAAAATCTCATGAGTGGGCAGTGTGAGGCTTATAGAGACAAAAACAAGAAATCAAGCCAAAACCCCAAACTCACAAAAGCCCAGTTTTCAATGCAAGAATCAATTGACACCCACCCCTCCAGGGATGCCTCGGCTTCTTGTCGGGAGAGCTCTCCCTACCTTCCCCACCTCCTGACTTAAGACCCTAGGTTGGTGACATGTGACGAGGGCATCACTCTGGTTTGTGTCTTCCTGATCATGTCGCTATGCCTGCACCTCCCAGGCTGAGTGGTCTAATTCCTGGAGGTCCCCTTTGTCACTCTCAATGCCCCCAGCCTGAAAAGATCCCAGGTGAGTGGGAAGCAAGACAGTGGGAGGCCCACTGGGCATTGGCCTTGGCCATGGGCTAACCTGGGGAGGGGGCTTTGAGGATTCCTTCACACCCTTGATAGTTTAACCCTCACCATCCAATATGGCAGCCACCTGCCACGTGTGCTACGGAGCACTTGCAACGCGGCAGCCTGACCCGAGATGTGCTGTGCACATAAATACTGAGCACTTAGTATGAAAAGCGAACGTAAACTATTTCCGTAATAATTTGTACACTGATTACACATTGAAATAATAATATCACTGATACGCTGGGTTAAATAAAATCTATTATTTAAATAAATTTTACTGGTTTCTTTTGATTTTTTTGAACGTGGCTATTAGAAAATCTTAAATTACACCTGTGGCTCGAAACATATTTCTACTGGACATGAGGACTTAACTCCTGAGGAACTGCAGTTTCTAAGGGCTGGAGGGAGTCATGGAGGCCCTTAGCAGCCCCACAATACAGATGGGAAAACTGAGGCCCAGGGAGGGGAGCGACCTGCCCACAGGCACTGGGTAAATTGGCAGCAGAATTTGCAGCTGGGTCTGGGATCCAGCCTCCTCACTCCTTGCAACTCTGGGCGTGGGTTCAAGCTATGGGTCCCCATGCTCGTTCTTTCCCTGTGTGCACGCTGGGAGGGGATTTCTGAGACCACTAGCAGGTCTGGGGACTCGGCCCAATCCAGCCACAGCCTCAGGTGAACGCAGAATGGCTGAAAGACAGTGTGCCCTGTCTCCAGAAGAAGCAGCGATGCTCCTAAGCATCCCATCTACAATGGGATCAAACAGCACCTGCCTCCCAGGGTGCTTGACAGCATTAAGTGAAATAACTACGTACGACACTTGTACCTGCGTGGCCCTGGGTTGCTTTTTGTTTCTATTAGCGGTAGTGCAGTTGTTTCTGGAGGTCCTTCCCTCCTGAAGGGCGGGGCTCACTGAGAGTGGGATGTCCCAGGGCCTGGCACGCACCCGGCACCCAGTAGGTGCTCAGTGCTCATCTACAGCACTGAGCCAGATTCTTACCCACACTCAGCTGAGTTCCCTTCCCAAAGGTCAGGTCGGGGTTCCCAACCGTCATGCAGAAGTAGACGCCGCTGTCGGAAGGCTTCACGCTTTGGAGGCTGAGAGTGTACCGGGAAGAATCTCGAAGCACAGTTAGCCTCTCCTGCTCCACCTCCTTGCCGTACACAGTCCCTTTGGTGAGATCCCAGAAGGCCAGGAACTCGTGGTGACTGTCAGCGCTCGGGGCCAGGCGCTGCCTCAGCCAGTAGATGCGAGAGTTAGTGGGGGGGGTTTTGGCTTCACAGGACAGCATCACGGTCTGATTGGTCTGAGCCGTCAAGGACGCAGGGGTCTGCACGAGTGCTGAGCTGCCACGCAGAGCTACGAGAAGCAGAAAGGGCAGACACCATCAGCACCTTCTCTTGGCCAGGCTCGTGGGGCCTCAGAGTCACCCGTAGTCAAGTATGAGAGAAGTTATGAGAGAGCCTGCCCAGTTGCAGGGCCTGGGGAAATGCTGTGTGGCCCCAGGACTCAGAGCTCGAGCACCCCATCCCCCATGCGATCGTCCACCAGGCAGGTGTTCCTGATGCCAGCCTGACAAAGGCGACAGGGGAGAGAGCACCATTTGTTGATTGCATGCTTATGCCTCGCTCTTTGCATAAATTACCTCAATCATGCCTCAGACTTACTTTGGGATTTTTATTCCCATTTCACAGATGAGGAACTGAGGCATGATATGACTTATTCAAAGTCCTGCTTACAGCTAGTAAGTGCCCGGGGGTCAAACTCAAGGATTCAGTCTGAAGTCAAAGCTGGTTGCCTTTCACCTTGTCCTGCTGCCGCTCTATGTAGACCTTCAAAAGGCTCCAAGCAGCTGAAGGAGACCCAGGGCAAGCTCAGAGAGGAGCTCAGGATCACCGGCAGAGCACATGGCCGGTCTGGCCAACCTAAGAGAGGGTCAGCCACCGTTTCTGGACAGTGACAACCAGCAAGAGGAACTCACTCTCCCCTGGTAGGCACAATTCTAGCCCATTACTCCCCAAGCCCGTAATCAATTGGTCTCTGGATCCCCATTCCCGAGTGGAAGGACAGACACCCCAGACGTGGCGCTGGGAGTTCATTTCAGTCTCAGATGGGAAGCCCCTGCAGGTAGGGGATTGTTCAGGAAAACTAGAGCAGAACACACAGACCTGGCCTTGAACCCCGTCTGTGCCCCATGCCGTTGTGGGACCTCAGGCGAGTCGTGGAGCCTGTCTCCTCCTATAAAAGGAGGGCGGCTTGCTGCAGCTGTCCTGCCTGCTTCTGAGGCTTAGAATGTCCGAAAAGCACTGCCAAGTGGAAAGTGCTATATGTGGGTAAACCACTGTCTGTGTGTCTCACATCTCAGGGGCTGTTCCTGGTAGCAAATGAAATCGTAAGGAGAGGATTAGAATGGGTCCGTCATGGCCAAGTCCAACAAACTGAATCTGACCTGGCAAAGCTTTCATTTTAGCTGCGGGGTAGAGGAGGCTGCAGACCGGGGCAGAGACCCAGGAGCATCAAGGTCCAGAGAGGACACAGACCTGGATGGGCAGAGGAGGCCACAGTCTGTGTGTGTATGTGTGTGTGTGTGTGTGTGTGTGTGTGTGTGTGTACCCAAGGCTTTCTGAGGTCGTGGCCCACATTCATAATCCTGCCTGTACTTGGAGCTCAGGCTCCCTGGCCCCAGAGTGACCTTCTCTAACACTGAAGAAATGAACTTAAACTTTTGGACACCCCTCACACTCAGATGGCTCTGAGCTTCTGCTCGCACTGAGAATGAAAGGGTACCTGGGGCCCAAGTGGCTGCTGGGCCTTCTCTCTTCTCCCCAAAAGCCATACTGTCTTTTTAGCAGAGTAGAGATTCTTCATTGTGTGGGGTCATTGACCTCCTGGGGGAGATAGTAAGAATCGACAGGGAATTCCCTGGCGGTTCAGTGGGTAGTACTCCTCTCTTCCACTGCTGGGGGCACAGGTTTGATCCCTGATCAGGGAACTAAGATCTTGCATGCTGCGCGGCTTGGTTAAAGAAAAGAAAAAAAATAAAAAAAGAATCACGGTACTGAATATGGTACGTGCATTATTTTGTTTAATCCTCACCAAATCTTTTGGGAGGAAACATATCATTTTACACATGAGGAAACAGAGGCTCAGGAAGGTTAACACAGCTGCTTAACCTAGGTCACACAGCCTCTTTGTGGTGGATCCAGATTCAAACTCAGGTCTGGGACCCCAGAACCTGAGCTTTGAGCCACTCCTTGAACTGAGGAAACCTGGATCCACAGCATGGGCTCATGTGCACATAGTGGGGCTGCAAATAAGATTCCAGAAGCTCTACCAAGAAAGCCCAGAGTGGAGAGGGGTCGGAGGGGCCCTGGGCTCTTTGTGTGCGATCCTCGCCTGCGTCCTGACTTGAAGACCTCCTGGCTGAGACACACCCTGGCCTCTCTCGTGCCCACTTGCTTTTCAGCCCCTGGAGGCTGAACCCCCGGCCGTGGTTGAGTCCAGTCTGTGCTCCAGACCCAGAGCCAGGCCTCACCACGCTCATGGTCTCATTTGATTTATTTGATGGTCTCAGTCCCCCCGTGACTCCACTCTCAGAGGGACCTGCTGTTTCTAAAATGACCCACAGTAACACTAGTAGCTTTGAATGGCCTAGACTAGCTTCTACTTGAGATGTCGTTGAGTTCATTAGATCAGAGCCCAGGCAGGCAGGTCTTGTCACCCTGGCAGGAAGGTCAGCTTTGGACGTCTTGAACAAGAGAGCAAATCAACCACAGGTTAGTGGGCAGTTTGGGGTGTGGAGGGGTTTCTTCTAAAAAACAGACTGACTGGGCTTCCCCGGTGGTGCAGTGGTTGAGAGTCCGCCTGCCGATGCAGGGGACACGGGTTCGTGCCCCGGTCCGGGAGGATCCCACATGCCGCGGAGCGGCTGGGCCCGTGAGCCATGGCCGCTGAGCCTGCGCGTCCGGAGCCTGTGCTCCGCAACGGGAGAGGCCACAGCAGTGAGAGGCCCGTGTACGGCAAAAAAACAAAAACAGACTGACTGGGCTTGGCCAGAGGGACAGACTCTCCGCTATATTCTAACCCCAACATTCGAACTCCATCGCTGCTTGTTCGGGGAGCCACACTGCCTATGACACCCACCCCCAGGGAGTATTCGGGAAACTGGGGACCCTGAGGGGGTACCCTGACACACCTGCCTGAGAACTGGCAACAGCCTGGTATTTGGTGGATTGTGCTACAGATACTTCCCCGGAAGTAATAAAAATATGTCTACAGAACCCTGGGCCAAGTGCCGGTGCACCAAAGCCAGAACTAGGCCCCTGGCCCCTTCCTGGGGGCACATCTCTGCCAGACCTGGACAAGGGCATTTTCCCTTCCTCTCTGGACCTCCTTTCTCTCTTTTCTTCCTTCCCATCTCCTTCAACCCTCCCTCCTCCTTCCTCTCTCCCTCCTCTCTTCCTGTCTCCCCTTCTAGGTTCAGGCTTTGGGGCAGAGGTGGCCTCAGTCCTGAGGCTCCCGGGAGCCCTGGGGTAATGAGCTCCCTGGGAGGTTTTCCACCCCCAGGGACTGTGCCTGCCGGCCGCCTCCCGGGCGCCACCGCAGCTCCGGGCTCCGGGCTGGGCATCCTACGGGGACAGTTTTCCCAAACTCCACGGCTCAAGCTCTTCCCGGCTCCAGCGAAGCCCACCCGCTCCTGCCCCGCGCGCCCCACGGTCTCCCCGCCTTACCTGCCAGCTGCGCGGCGACAAGAAGCCAGAGCCGCGGCTGCATCTTGGCGCGCCCGGGACACCTGGTCCTGGCGGGGCTCGGCTAAGATGGTCTGGGCTGGGACCCGGCGGGGCAGCTGGGGGAGGGCGGAGCGGGTAGCAGGGAGGGAGGGGCCCGGCGGGGGAGAGGGGCGGGAGTCTGGTGAGAGGAGAGCAAGGTCTCTGCCCTCATCCTCCCGGCATTTCAAAGGTCTTGGCTGCGTCTCCAAGCAATCGCACGTGTGTGATCGCCTCCTGCCCTGGGAGGTCAGAACAGGATCTTCACTCCATGTGACTCCAGATGAGGCAACTGAGGCTCAGAGAACTCAGGATGCTCAGGAGGGTCCCACGGGAGTGGTGGTGGAGCAGGACCCTAACTCCAGTCACTTCCTTCCTTTCTGAGTGGTTATTGACAGCAGCCTCCTGTGTACTCCAGGGCCAGCTGGACCTGAAGTCGCCAAGACCCAGGCCCTATCCTCAAGGGCACACACTTGTGCGGGTGAAGGAAAGTTAACTGACAGTGACACATAGTCTGATGCTGAGGAAGGTGAGCTGGGGCGCCAGCCTGGACCGGGGGCAAAGCGAGACCTTGACCTTCAGAGTCTGGAAGAGCTGAGAAGATTAGGGTGCTCTCTCTACCCCCACCCCCACCCCCAATGTATAATTTCTGTTAAAATAACACTGAAATGGGGAGTTAGCAGAAGATCAACAAAGATGCCCGCCCACTTGGAAGCTGTGTGTGTGTGTGAGTGTGTGTGCCCCCTCACCCTGCTCTCCCCTCCTGCTGTGCGGTGCCCTGCAGCTCTGTCTGCCGGTGGTGCAGTCAAGGTCTGGGCAGGGACACTTCTCAGGGTGATCTTGCTGTTCAAGTGCAGGTTAGCAGAGGAAGCAGGGAGTGGGAAGGTGGGGGAGGAGGAGAGCTGGGTATGTGAGGGCCTGCGGGGCAGAGGGAACATGGGGAGGGTGGTGGGAGAAGGTCACAATATCAACAAGGACCTAGACCCGCAGGCAGGCCGTGTGGGTCACCCTAAAAGCCTGGAGTTTACCAAAGAGGGGATGGAGTGTCCTTGGAGTTCTAAAGAAGGCCATGGGGCAGGGATACTTTCAGCATGCAAAGCCAATCTCCTTTCCAACCTATTCCTGCCTCAGCTCCCTTACCCATCGCTGGGGACCGGCACTGCTGAGCTGGGCTCAGAGTTCAAGGGGCTGCTCCTACAGCCCAGCCAGAGGCCAGAGTCTCCCTCCATATTTCCTAACCAGGAGCAACCGCTGAGGTCTGAGCGTACCCAGGGCAGACCTGGGGAGAACACACTTTAGTGTGAGCTTTTTTCTTTTTGAAGTGAAATTCACAAAACACAAAGTTACCATTTAAAAACGGATATAATCCAGTGGTAGTTAGTACTTTCATGATGTTGTCCAGCCACCGCCTCTATCTAATTCCAAATCATTTTCATCTCCCCAAAGGAAATCTCTGTCCCAATTAAGCAGTCTCTCCTTATTGCTCCCTTCCCCCCTCCAACCCCTGGTAACCACTAATCTTCATTTTCTCTCTATTGATTTACATATTCCGAATATTTCGCATAAACAGAATCGTACAATATGTGGATTTTTGTGTTTGGCTTCTTTCACTTGCAGTAATGATTTTGAGGTTCATCCATTTTGTAGCATGTATCAGTACTTCATTCCTTTTTTATGGCTGAGTAATATTCTGTTGTACATATATACAACATTACGTTTATCCCCTCATCTATTAATGGACATTTGGGTTGTTTCTACTTATTTGGCTATTGTCAATAATGCTGCTATAAACTTTCTTGTGTAAGTATGTATGGAGTACTTGTTTTCAGCTCTTTTGGGTCTATACCTGGGAGTATAATTGCTAGGTTCTATGGTAATTCTGTGTTTAACTTTTTGAGGAGCTGCCAAACTGTTTCTATAGCAGCTGTGCCATTTTACATTTCCACCAACAGTGTATGAGGGCTCCAGTTTCCCCACATCCTCACTGACACCTGTTACTTTCTGTTCTTTTTTATTTATTTATTTTTAATATATCCATCCCAGTGGCTGTGAGGTAGTATCTTATTGTGGTTTATTTTTGTTTTTATTGTGGTACGTGGGCCTCTCACTGTTGTGGCCTCTCACATTGCGGAGCATAGGCTCCAGACGCGCAGGCTCAGCGGCCATGGCTCACGGGCCCAGCCGCTCCACGGCACGTGGGATCTTCCCAGGCCGGGGCACGAGCCCACGTCCCCTGCATCGGCAGGCGGACTCTCAACCACTGTGCCACCAGGGAAGCCCCCTTATTGTGGTTTTGATTTGCATTTTCTTAATGGCTAATGATGTTAAACATCTTTTCATATGCTTCTTGGCTATTTGTATTTCTTATTTGTGTGTCTCTTCAAATCCTTTGCTCATCAAAAAGATTAGGTTGTCTTTTTGTTGTTGAATTATAAGAACTCTTTATATATTCTGGATACCAGGCCCTTCTCTGATATATGATTTGCAACTATTTTCTCCCATACAGCTGCTTGTCTTTTCACTTTGTTAATAATATCCTTTGATGCACACAACTTTCTAATTTTGATGAAGTCCAATATTTCTATTTTTCTCTTGCTGCTCATGCTTTTGGTGTCATATTTCAAAATCAATTGCTAAATCCAGGGTCATGAAGATCTACCCTGATGTTTTCTTCTAAGAGTTTTATAGTTTTAGCTCTTATAATTCAGTTATTGATCCACTTTGAGTTTACGTTTATACATGGTGTGAGGTAGGGGTCCAACTTCATCCTTTTGCATGTGGATATCAAGTTGTTCTGGCATCATTTGTTGAAGAAACTATTCTACCCCCATTGAATAGTCTTAGTATGCTTGTTGAAAGTCAGTTGACCACAGAGGTATGGGCTTATTTCTAGACTCTCAATTCTATTTCATTGATGTATATGTCCGTCCTTATGCCAGCAACACATCATTTTGATCACTGTAGTGTGATAGTCAAGTTTATGTCAACTTGACTAGGCCACGGATGCCCAGATATCTGTTTAAACATCACTTCTGGGTGTGTCTGTGAGATTGTTTCTAGAAGAGAGTAGCATTTGAATTAGTGGACTGCTTAAAGCAGATGGTCCAACTTAGTGTGGGTGAGTAACATCCAATGTGTTGAGGGCCTGAATAGAACAAAAAGGTGAAGGAAAGTTGGATTTGCCCTCCTTCTGCCTGTTTGCCTGAGATGGGACATTGATCTTCTCTTGCCCTTAGCACTCCTGGTTCTCAGGTCTTTGAACTAGAACTGGAATCTACACCTTTGGCTCTCAGGCCTTTGAACAACAAAACCCAGGCTTTTTTGGGTCTCCAGCTTACAGACAGAAGTTCATGAGACTTCTCAGCCATCATGCTTGAGACAGCCAATACCTTTAATAAATCATATATATCTATCTATATCTATATCTATACCTCTTATTGGTTCTCTTTCTCTGAAGAGCCCTGATTAATACATATAATATTGTAGTAAGTTTTAAAATGGAGAAGTGTGAGTTGTCCAACTCTGTTCTTTTAAAATATTGTTTTAACTATCTGGGGCCCCTTATATTTCCATGTGAATTTAAGAGTCAGCTTTTCCATTTCTGCAAAAAAAGCTGTTGAAACTTTAATAGGAATTGCATTGAATTTGTAGATTGCTTTGGGTAGTATTGCCATCTTAACAATATTATGTTTTCCAACCCATGAACATAGAATTTCTTTCCATTTATTTAGGTCTTCTCTAATTTCCTCTAGCAATTTTTTTTTTCTTGATTTCAGTGTACAAGTCTTTCACCTTTTTGGTTAAACTTATTCTTTGGTATTTTATTCTTTTGGATGCTATTGCAAATTGAATTGTTTTCTTAATTTCCTTTTTAGATTGCTCACTGCTGGTGTATAGAAACACAACTGATTTTTGTGTATTGATCTTGTACCATGCAACTTTGCTTAATGTTTATTAGCTCTAGTAGTTTTTCTGTGTGTGTGGATTCTTTGAGATTTTCTTCATATAGGATCATGCCATCTCAGAATAGAGATAGTTTTACTTCTTCCTTTCCAATTTGGATGCCTTTATTTCTTTTTCTTATCTAATTGCTTTGGTAAAACTACCAGTATAATGTGGAATAGCAATGGTGAAAGCAAATAACTTTGTTTCAGTTTTGATCTTAGGGGAAAAGCTTTCAGTCTTTCACCATCGAGTGTAATGTTGGCTATGGTTTTGCTGTACACATAAGTGTATACTATCGTGTTGAAGAAGTTCCCATCTATTGCTAATTTTCTGAGTGTTTTTTATGATGAAAGGTTATTGGATTTTCTCAAATGCTTTTTCTGCTTCAAGTGAGGTGATTCTGTGGGTTTTCCCCCCTTTGTTCTATAATGTGGAATAGCAATGGTGAAAGCAAATAACTTTGTTTCAGTTTTGATCTTAGGGGAAAAGCTTTGAGTCTTTCACCATCGAGTGTAATGTTGGCTATGGTTTTGCTGTACACATAAGTGTATACTATCGTGTTGAAGAAGTTCCCATCTATTGCTAATTTTCTGAGTGTTTTTTATGATGAAAGGTTATTGGATTTTCTCAAATGCTTTTTCTGCTTCAAGTGAGGTGATTCTGTGGGTTTTTCCCCCCTTTGTTCTGTTAATGTGGTGTATTACATTGATTAATTTTCTTATGTTGAATGGTCCCTGCATTCCTAGAACAAATCCCACTTGGTCACAATGTGTAATCTTTTTAATATGCAGTTGGGTTTCGTTTGCTAGTATTTTGTTGAGGATTTTTGTATCTATATTCTTAAGGGATATTGGTCTCTAGTGTGACCTTTGTACAAGATTGACCACTGAGCTGCTTTGGCCTGTGAATGCTTTTAGAGCTGTAGCCATTCCTGTGCTGTAGTCAATGCAGCAGAGGCATTAATGACTGTAAATCATCTAAGCTGAACCACGTTTCCAGTTTTACTCTCCAGCCTCTGCAGGCTGTGCTGATCTAGAAGAGCTTTCTTGCCCTCATGCCATTCATTCAACAAACACGTAGAGGGAGCCATCTAACCCTGTGCTCAGCCCAGGGAAATCAAGGTGTATGAGAGCCAGTTC